AAGCGGATATTTATTATTTAGATTAGACTATTTTGTTCAATTTTATGATTTTGCGTTTTGTAATTATTGCGATTTAACATTGACTGTGCAAGAACATTATTTTGTATAATAAGAATATATATTAAGTTTGCTTATCTAATTACTGACTCTTATACCGTCCTATATTTTTACCATTTAATTCAATTAAGTATTAGCATTGTCTAAAAGTGAGCTATTGTTGACCAAGATATTATGACCGCTCACACAATCAAAAGCATCAATTTATATTATAATCTAAGGAAGAGAGAGGGAAAGTTCACTGGAAGGGATGAAGGATTATTTTGTCTTAACCTTCTAAAGTTTGTCTAAAGTTAACGTCTAAAGTTGGTAACATTGAATTTTGATACGTAAAACCGATTGAATACCGTTTACACGGCTTTCTTAAAACCGTTTAGTTAACGCCAAACCTGTTTTAGAAGAGATTTGGATTTACTAACATCGATATTAAGAAACGTTTACAGGACATCTAACACCGGTTTTAACTAAAATGGTTTTTACTAAAACGGTTTTATCAGTGCGTGTAAACGTAGTCATGAATTCAAGATTCCATCACGGTAATGTCATGATGGAATTAGAATTCTACCGTAGCTTAGGTATTTTCATATTAACCCAACTTAGGGGCTCAGTTCCCAGACAGCACAGGACATCCACTGAACATTCAGACTTGGTTTCAATCTAATCCCTTACAGAAATGGATTATTAGTGCGAAACTGTTGAATTATGGTTTCGTAGGCGCTTGAATAAATTCTGAGATAAAATCTTGTAACACCTTTATTCAAGAAGAAGAACTATAAAAGGCGAACGTACAAAGACGAACGAAAAGTGCTGACACTCCTAGGCCGGTATTCATAGTCGGTTCTTATTTTAAGACCGTCTTAAATAATGTCTTAAGTCGCTAATGTGGTCCTTTGATTTGAATGTGGAATAATATATTATTCTTAATTTTAAATACTACAAAATTTAAAAAGTATACACATGTTCGGTATATACATACATAATATGTATATTTATACGCTTATTTATACATTTAAGAAAATGGCATGGCGCCATAGTTTCTTTCGTTTTTCCGATGTTTGTCAGCGTTTCGTAATCTTTTTGTCTTCGTGAAACATTTTTATCCTAATATAACACAAAGATATTGTCTTTGATAGACTACGTATATGATTTTC